GAGGGAGAGGGAGAGCGAGAGCGAGAGCGAGAGCGAGAGGGAGAAAGCGAAAGCATAGCCGGCTAAAGCTTAAATCCAGCCACTTGTTCCCTCTTGAGCCGAGTCAAGGCTTGGCTTTACAGGCAGGGGCCCTGTTTGGCAGGGCAGGCCTGAGTTGTTTGTAGCACTGGCTTTAAGCAAGCAGCTCACAGTTAGTCCAGCCAGAGGCCAAGCAGATCTGGGCAGGGGCTAGGGAGCCGGCTGCTCGGACTAGGGAGCCGGCCCCAAGCAGTTTTTAATGGATTCTTGTCACGTTGGGCGCCAGATGTAGATGTAACCAACAGTCTTATTAAAATAAGAAACACAGAGCCAATGTAAAAGAGAAAGCCAAGAGGTCAGACAGAGCTCAGAGCTAAAATCTTACCTCCTGCAGTGCTCCTAGCTTCCCTGAGAGAGAGCTTCTTCCTGTTTGTCTGTGTTTAAATAGTCTTTCTGTTCTACCTTCTCATTGGTTGTAAACCCAACCACATGACTGCCTCGTCACTGCCTGTAAGTACTGCCCTCCAGGTCTTAAAGGCGTATATCTCCAATACTGGCTGTATTCCTGAACACACAGAAATCTACCTAGCTCTTCTAACCACCATGCTCTTGCTATGGCTCTAATAGCTCTGACCCCAGGGCAACTTTATTTATTAACATAAAATTAAAATCACATTTCAGTACAAATAAAATATCACCATAGATCTGGGGAAAACGGGATCTGCATTCACTGCTGGTGGGACTGTAAGATGGTGTGGCCAATCTGAAATACAGTTTAACCATTTTCAAAATGTTAGTCACTGTCTTGGTGAGTTCAAGGCTAGCCTGGGCTACATAAGACCCTGACTCAAAACAAACAAAGCCCCCAAGCATCTGTATTCATTAAACAGCAGCCCTCTTACATCCCTCCCAAGGCCCAGGTGATGGCCGTTCTAGTTCCTGTCTCTATGACTTAACCGAGCACCTCAGAAGGAGACTGTGCAGAACTTACCTGTTTGCAGCTGTCTTGAAATTAATCCTGACTGTGGCATGTGTCAGAATTCTCTTACATTTTAATGCTGAATAGTGTGTTCCTGTGTGATTATGCCACACTTGGCTTCTTCATTCATCTTTGATGGACAAATAAATTTTAAAGCCTATGTGACCCTATAGCTCCACTGAATAGCTTCACTAGGTAACCTTTACTTTTTCTTTCTTTCTTTCTTCCTTCCTTCTTTCCTCCCTCCCTCCCTCCCCCCCTCTCTCTGTCTCATAGATAATGTAATATATAATATATATTATATATTATATGGGTTTGTTTGCTTTTGTTGTTTGTTTTGAGACAGGGTTTCTCTATGTAGCCTTGACTATCCTGGAACTTGCTCTGTAGACCAAGCTGGCCTCAAACTCAGATTTGCCAGCTTCTGGCTCCCAAGTGCTGGGATTAAAGGCATGTGCCACAATGCTCAGTAACTCTCTACATTTTTAATGTTTTAATGGATGCTAATTGCCTATGTTACTTAAGGCATATTGAGAGGGGTTGACAAACTATACACAGAACGCCAACCGATCCACTGTTTATTGTTATCTATACAGTATCATTGATAAAATCCATACTCATTTGTTTACTTATCTATGGCTGTTTGCATGCCACAGCAGCAGAACTGAGTAGCTGTAACATTAATTATAACAAAGCCTAAAATATTCACTACTTGGCCTTTTAAGTAAATATATGCTGCTGTGGGATGTCTTTCTGTATGCTGTGAATATGTGTGACTCCCATTGGATAATAAATAAAGCTGTTTTGACCTATGGCAAGAAAGCTTACAGCCAGGTGGGAAATCCAAGCAGAGATACAGAGAAAAGGGCAGAGTTGGGAGAGACTTGAACCCACTGCTCAAGGAGCAACAAGATGTCAGCAGACCAGTAACACCATGGTCACATAGCAATACATAAATTAATAGAAATGGGTTGAATTAAGTTATGAAAAGCTAGCTAGCAAGATGCTTGAGCCATAGGCCATACAGTTTGTAATTAATATAAGCCTCTGAATAATTATTTTATAAGTGGCTGTGGAACTGCAGGGCCAGGCAGGACCAGAGGAACTTCTGTCTACAATACGCTCTTTCCAGAGCTATAGAAACAAATAGACCTCAACATTAATAAAGTGAAAATACAAGCTTATTTTTCTTCCATGGCATCTTAGTTGGAGTCCTATTGCTGTGAAGACACACTATGACCACAGCAACTCTTATAAAGGAAACCCTTTAATTGGGTCTGCCTTACAGTTTCAGAGGTTCAGTCCATTATCATCATGGAAGAAAGCATGGCAGACATGGTGCTGGGAAAGGAGCTGAGAGTTCTACATCCGGATCCGTAGGCAGCAGGAAGAGAGAGACCCTAGGCTTGGCTGGAGCATTGAAACTTCAAAGCCCACCCTTGTGGGAAGTGACACACTTCCTCCAGCAAGGCCACACCTACTCTATCAAGGCCACACCTCCATAGTGCCACTCCCTGTGAGCCTGTGGGGGCCATTTTCAATCAAACCCCACACAATGCTAGGCAGCTTCTCTCCTTGCTTGATGCATGAGCCTAGGATGCCTCCACCCTGTGGCTAGGTGACGCCTGGGGTCTCTTCCTCTTTTGCCTTGAGCTGATAGAAGAGAAGAGTCCCTGTAGGAGACTTCTACTCTTCTACTTCCCTCTACCTCGTTAAGCCTGGCTCAGATGGCACACATATTACTCATTCATGATCCTCTGAGTGGCAACCTAAGCTCCAGACATCAGTGGGCATAGTTGTGTCTGCCATGCCAACACCAGGAAAGAAGAAGCACAGCCATTGGAGGAGGGCAGCCATGCCTGGGCAGGTGGCTTTTCCAGCCTGGAGAAGGCCAGATGAAACGTTGTGCTAGTCATTCCAACCCAAGCAGGCCCTCCTGAAACAAAGAGGTCAGCAGGTTTGACCGGTACCAACTGCCACAATTATGAACCGGCCTTGTACGGAGCTAGGTAACATCACCTTTGTGTACCAGTTACTTTTTTATGGCTGTGACAAAACATCGCAACTTGTAAAGAAAGGGTTGGTTTGGGCTCACAGAACCAGAGGGATACAAGTCTGGCAAGGTAGGGAAGCGTGGCCACAAGGGACAGGCCCGGCTGCAGGAACAGGAAGCCGAGAGCTCACATCCTCATCCACAAGCACAAAGCAGAGGGAGCAAGCTGGAAGGAGAGGCATTTTAAGTCTCAAAGCCCACCTGGGGACATACTTCCTCCAGCAAGGCCACACTAATCTAGTCCTCCCCAGTCACCAGCTGGAGACAGGTGTTTGAATGTCCACGACTCTGAGGGTTACACTTCCTTCAAATCATACTCTTCATCACCCCACAGGGTTATGCACTGCGGAGATCCAGCCTCAGGACACGGTCAGACCAGCTTCCTGGGGTGTTTAACCCAGACTGAAAGTCAAGCGCTGGCAAACAGTTTGTATCTGAAGAATTGCTGTGGTTGGCTCCACAACCGTCAGTGGACACCGAAGCCCCCTTTAGAAAGGGGCACAGCCTTTCATATAGCCCGTGCATAGCTCTCTATGCATTAGTCACCTCTAGGTCATTACTGTACCTGTTCTGATAGGAGTGCTATGTAAGTAAATGTTATAATGTATTGTTTAGGAAACAAAAAGCACATTTTCAGTAAAAAAAAAAAAACAACAACAACCAACTTTTCTTCTAAATACTTGCAACCCATGATTGGTTGAATCCCAAGTATAAAACCCATGGATGCAAAGGGCTGGCAGTATACACTTTTTCTTACAGTTCTTAAGATTTCAAAAAGTTCATGACCACCAACCATCACTACCACCTCCAAAGTTACAAATAAAACTAAATCTGACCTAAAATTCTTTCCACACTGTGGTGTGTGAGTGAAAAAGTCCCCCAGGGGTGCCTGTCGTGGTGCTGTTTTGGGGGGCTGTGGAAACTTTAGGAGGTACAGCGGGGAGAAGGATGTCACTGCCCCCCATCTGCCTGTCTGGCCCCATGTCTTGCTGGCATGCCTTCCCTGTTATGAGAGACTATCCCTCAGGAACTGTGATGCAAAACTAACCCCTTTCTTCTCTAAGCTTCTTCTTGTCAGGGTATTCGGTCACAGTCACAGCTCACAGTCACAGCAAAGTGACTTATACACCCACCCTGGAAGAATGGTGCTAAAGGCAGACAGAAATAATCCATTACTGTAACTTGGTTGTCTGAGACACATCAACAGGTTATTCTGAGTTTTGCTCTACTTTATTAATTACAAAGTCATATCTCATAAAGTTACCTGCCAAACACAGATATCAATGAGTGGGGATGGAAAAAAATATATACACACACAAAAACAAAACAAAACGGAAAAGCCCCCAAGCCATATACCCAAAGCCTGGGAATATAGCCAGCTAACCATAAAGGCTGAAGTAGAGGGAGACGTGTTGGAGATGTCCAGTACTGTGAGGTCACATGATCTGCTCTCTTTGGATTTTCACTGGCAAGACCATAGCCCACAACCTTCAATATAAGAGCTGGTATACTGTAGCACTTTCCTTGGATCCTGTGACCAGATACTGACTATCAGAGGACACGTCACAACACAGGATGTCGTAACGCTCCTTTACCTAGAAAAGAGAGGTAAAGAACACGAAGGGTGGGGCTTGAGCCAGACATTGAGGACTTCATGTTTCAAGGTTTACATAGACTCAAGGCTTCACTGAGTTGTGGATAAAGCTCAAAGCGAAGACCATGGGTTCACAGGATCAGCCCTCAGTCCCTACCACTATAAAATGCCGTCTCAGCGATATTTTCCAGTCTTCACTGGAACCCATCAAGTAGGGGTCTGGGGCCACAAGCTGAGTGTTTTAGTCTGCACACCCCCACTCTCCGCCTCCATACCTGGAACAACCTTCGTAGAGAAGGTGCTGCTAAACAATGGATCACCTCATCCAGCGTGGACACAAAACAGGTCCCTGGCAAAGGGAAGAAGAGGTATGATCGAGAGGTCAGAAACAGCCTATGTGCTCATTCCTGCCGTCTTCAAGCAGACTAGGGAGAGATCAACTATCTGCTCTGCCTCAGGTTCCCTGCCCTATAAAAATCAGGTGCGTGACCCAAGCCATCCCTTCATCTGCTACCACCAGAACCACACCCAAAACGTAGGTTATTGTCACTGAACAAGAGATCCATGAGATGGGACTCCTGCCACTTCTGTCTGCCTGGACCTTCAGGCTTCATTCTATATGGGAAGCCCCTGTGATAGAGGGGAGCATAAGGAAAGGGGGTGGAGAAAGAAGGTAGGAACCCATGGGGGGTCACCTGGCTTCTAACTCACCACAAGAGGCAAACTTGAGGTTGTGGTGATTTGTGTATCTTTGGACCACAGCTTTGTACTTCTCCTCCCGGTGAGCATGGAGGATGACAATGTCACTCATTCTCAAGCCTGCTAGTACCCATTCCTCACTGGGGTCATGAGTAATGCTAAGGATCTGTGGGAAGGTTTGGGTCAGCATTCAAAATTGCCAGTGCCCTCATCCAAGCCTTGGCCTCAGAGTCACACTCAGCACCCCCTGCCCACATCCAGGTCCCCACCCTGGGGTTGAACTTGGTCCGGAAGGCAACCAAGCAGGCACCTCGTGGCATAAGTTGTGTTGCTGCAGCTTCCGGTAGCTCCTCATGTCCCAGGAATACAGGATGGTGTCTTCACCACCTGTCCAGAACTTAAAGCCTGTGACGTCCACGCAGCGGGACCCATAGGGAGGAACTTCATGTTTCCTGGTAGGAAAACAACTCAGAGCTCTTTAGAAAGGTTTGCTCCCCACCCCCACCCCCACCCCCAGAGTCTGGAAGGGTTAGGAAGCCCCTAGTTGTACCTTCCAGGCTGTTTAGCATATCCCTACCACCAAGAAGGGAAAGTGGGGTGTCATTCTCAAGCCCTTCCCAAGGGACACCTGAGCGGGGCTGGAGAGAGGTCCTACCTGATCAAGATTTGGTTCTGCACATCCCAAATCTCCACAAATCCTTTGAAAGAAGCCAAGCAGATGTGGGCGTCGGAAGAGAGGGCCAAGGAAAAGCACGTGGGGCCTGTGGAGGCCATCTGGGCCCTGATTTGGGGTGTTGGAGCCAGGTCCCAGAGAGTCAGAGCCCGGGCCATCCCCCCTGTGATCAGACTCTGCTCATCGGGGAACAGCTTGCAGGTGAGCACACGGTTCCGAGGGTCCTGGGGGAAGAACACACGCTCTCAATCCACGTTGCAGTGCTGGGGCGAGGGGCCTTTCCCTAAACCCGCTTGAGAGCCCCCCTCACCTGCAAGTCCAGCTGGGCCTGAGGCGCACGGTCCGAGGCGTGCAGCGCATCCTCGTCCCACACCCTGATGTAGCCGGTGCCACACGTGTACACGTGGCGCGGGGCACTGCTGATGGCAATCGCGTTCACTCGCTTCCCGTGGCGGAGAGTGCCAACCCTCCAGGAACCGCGTGGGGACTTGCGCGTGACTACGGCCTCATCTGGGATGGGAGGCTGGGTGGGGGGACGGACGGCACGACTGGTCAACCGAGGCGGCAGCCTGCTCTGCCTCTACTTCCCCCAAATTTCTAAGCTTCTTTCTCATAACAGAGCTTGGCTCAGGGGCCCCCAAGTCACATCTCTTGTAGAGGTGACACTGTGAACTAAAGGGCCTATTTGTCAAAATGGCGGAACACGGAGAGCAGCCTCATTGAGAAAATGGGATCAGGCCCGGCGGTGGTGGTGCACGCCTTTAATCCCAGCACTCGGGAGGCAGAGCCAGGCGGGTCTCTGTGAGTTCAAGGCCAGCCTGGGGTACAGAGCGAGCGAGATCCAGGAGAGGCGCGAAACTACACAGAGAAACCCTGCCTGGAAAAACCAGAAGCAAAAAAAGAGAAGAGAAGAGAAGAGAAAAGAGAAGAGAAGAGAAGAGAAGAGAAGAGAAGAGAAGAGAAGAGAAGAGAAGAGAAGAGAAGAAAAGAGAAGAAAAGAAAAAAAGATGGTATCCCAGGCTACCACTCCCTAAGAGAAAGGGAATGGGGTGTGCAAACACACCACTTCTCCATTGGAGGGTGGGCAGGAAAGAAGGATGATGTCTGGCTGTCAAAAACATACTATTAAGGTACTTACAATGGCTTTGAGGAGTGACCAGACTTCTCTGTTGGGCAAGGACGAAGAAGAGAACTGACCTGCAGGGAAACAGCCACACCCACCTCTCATGGACCAGGCATCACAGCAAAGTCACAACGCCAGAAAGACAGCTGCTCTCTTACACCAAACCGGGGACTTCATCCACCATCTGGGCCCCAGCGTGGGCCACCCCCCCCCCCCCGACCACACTGTCATGGCCTGCACTTACCAGTCATAGCTCCTGGCTGAAAGCTACAACAGAGAAGAAAGAGGGAGAAGATGGCATGAAGTGTCGGGCCCTCTCTGCCCAGGACAGTTATCACCCTGCCCAGCCCATGCTCATGACAGCCTTACCTTGAGCTGGTTCCTCCTTCTGGTTCTGCCTCTGAAAACCACATGTGCTGGAGCTCAGATGTGTCCTGGGCTTGGGGATGCAACTGCTGCTGGCTTATACGGTGCATTTCCTGATCAACAGGGTCATGCTGTGTTGAGGGACGTGGGGGCATTCCCTGCGTTCTGTTCACTTGGCGTTGTTCTTGTTGCCCATGATGAGAAAAAATACCAGAGCTTTCTGGCATCTTCTTTATCTCCTCTGTTTCATCATAAATCCTGAGTATCCTGAATGAGTCCTCTTTCTTTTCACTCATGTTCTTGGGTCAATCAAGTAAACGAATCAGTTGGCTCTAGGGACCCAGCACACAGATCCTGGGTTCCCAATTCATCCTGATCGCCTGTACTATGAAAGAGAACAGGAAAGGACTGGAAAACAGCTCCGTCGGTAAGTGCTTATTGCAAAGCGTGAGAATCTGAGTGCAGATTCCTAAGCATGTATCTGTAACCCTAGTGCTGGTAAGGTGGAGGCAGGGGACCCCTGGGGCTTGTCGGCCAGCCACTCAACCTGAATTGGTAAGCTCCAGGTTTAGTGAGAGACCCTGTCTCAAAAAAAAAAAAAGACATAAATTAATTAAAAATAAAAATAAGGAGGAGGGCCAGAGATATGGCCCCAGAAACCTGATGGCCTGACTTCAGTCTTCAAATCTGTGTAAAGACCCAGCTGTGGTAGGACACATCTGGAATCTCAGCACTTCTACAACAAGATGGGAAGTGGAGACAGAATTATCCAGAAGCCTAAAGACCAGCTGCCCTGGAGTATGCAGTATAGCAACAGACACAGAGAGACCCTGCCTCAAAATAAGGTGGAAGAAGAGAACCAACTCCAGAAGAGCTGTCCTCTGGTCTCCACATGTGCTCTGTGGCATGTACACTCCCTCCCCCCCCCCTCCGCCCACAGCTGAGGACCGAACCCAGGGCCTTGTGCTTGCTAGGCAAGCGCTCTACCCCTGAGCTAAATCCCCAAGCCAGCATTCACATACACTCACCCCAGAAAACAATTTCACAAAAAGATAGAGGATGATTGAGGAAGATAGCTGACATCCACCTTTCACACACACACACATGCACACAGGAACACACACACACACACACACACACACACACACACACACGAGCACATATACATACATACACAGAGGGAATAGAAGTCAAAAAAAAAGTCAGGGGTACTGTGCAGAGTCTGTTTGGAATGTTCTGTAAACACCTCTTTGGATGTAAAGCCTCAAAAGATTGACTGACAATTAACTTTTGCAGACATCGACTGTATTTCTGTGTAGAGAAAATCAAACTCACCCTTTAATTTGGACACACCCATTTCAAATGTGGTTGATCCTCAATGTACCCAAACCCTAAGGCAGCAGGAAATCCACACAGAGACCATGGGGTGTCTCACCCACCACAGGGGACAACATGGAGGAGCCTGGGACCATAAACTCAAATATAAGATGTTCTGTTTGGTGAGAACAGAATGCAGAGTGATGAAGACTTGGCCTGGCAGTGATTGACATTTGCTGCACCCTGAGACAATTCTAAAATGGGAACAGATTCACGTCTGCAGGCTGTGGAACACTGTAGAAGGCTAGTAGAAAATGATGCATGGAAGACAGTGTACTCACTTGCAGCCTGTGCAGCGGAAATTGTGAATTTAAGACAGGCTATATCCTCTTTAGAAAGATTCCACTCCAATCTATCCAACAGTTAGCCCTAGAAATGTCCCTGGGAAAGCCCAGGTTTTTCTATTAAGAGAACCTAACAGAAACCTTGGGGACATAGGTAGCCATGGAGAGGGAATCTCCCCTTCAGAACAATGGTTTTGACAGCCAGGCTCACTCCGTGGCATTTATGAAAGGCCCTAGCAGGACCTCAGCAGAAAACCAGCAGCCTGACAATGGTTAGTTGTATATTTGGTCCTGAACTAAATGCTTTACATGGAAGATCTAATCTTTTCCTTGCCACCATATGCTCTAATTTATGATTGGTTGGTTGATTGTTGGTTTGGGGTACCACACATGAAACCCAGGACCTTCTTTGCACATGCTAGGCAAGCAAGCACTCTACCACTGAACTAAACACCCAACATCTCTGAACCATTTTATAGGTATGATTTTGAGACAAGAGCTCTTTCTGTAGCCCAGGCTAGCCACTATCCTCCTGCCTCGGCACTCCAAGTGCAAGGGCACATTTCATAGATTAAAAAGTGAAGCCTAAGGCAAGTGAGCCCCAGGTCCCAAGGCTGGGTGGCTAGAGAGCACAGCGCAGCTCCCACGTGTCCTCTCCGGTTCACCTTTTTCTTTTAACCGAGACAGGGTTTCTCTGTGTAGCTTTGGAACCTTTCCTGAAACTCACTGTGTAGCCCAGGCTGGCCTCGAACTCACAGAGATCCACCTGCCTCTGCCTCCCGAGTGCTGGGGTTAAAGGCGTGAGCCACCACCGCCTGGCCTCTGGTTCACTTCTTACCATCCACTAGAAGGAAGAAGGCAATGCCCGCTATAAGAACCAAGGCATGTACTCTGACCTAGCACCCCCACACTCACAGCTACCCTGCAGACACAATTGGAGATATACAAAACAGTATGTGTACTAACTGAAGCAGAACCAAACAGCACCGGTGAAGACTGGTGATGTCTATAGCACATCCCCATAGTGGAAGAGTACGCAGTAGTTAAAAGAAAAAGGTTAAAAGAAAAAGGACATCTTCATGGACACGGAACATTTCAAGGTATAATATTAGAGGGGGTGTTATAAAGCTCAGAACAATGTTCAAAATATATTAACTTTGTATAAGAAAGGATGGAAATTAGAATTTATTTTCCTATGTGTACAAGAGATTAAGAAGAATAGTTGTGTTTCCAAAACAGAAATTGGAAAACAGGAAAGAGGAACAGGAGGGGGATTAGTCACAACAAGACCTGATTCTGCTTTCTCTTCTTCGGGGATATTTCAACCCATATTAGAAACTGTTGAACCAGGGGGCAAATTTCATCGCCCCCAAAGCATAGCCCCCATGATTCCTAATTAGTTATATCATTTGTTCACACTTAACACGTTTTCTCTGAGAGGCATCGGGCTTCCTTTAGGGACACCCGAGCTAGGTCAGCCTGGTGAGAATGAGCCGTGGGGCACAGGCCTCTGCCCCTAGCAGGAGAAGGATCTCAGTAAGTGAGGACCCGGCTGCAAAGTCCTCTTGTAGGGGTTGGATAAAGCTTCAAGACAATGAAAGGACTTGACCGAGGCTTGTGACTTCAAGTTACCCAATTTTCACCATAAAGGCAAGACAAGGCTTTTGGAGGAGCCAATATCATGGGTTCCCCTCTCTTTTCCCCACGAGTGGGAAATTCCCCACTCACAAACACTCTGGGGCAGAAAACTCACCTCAGAAGGCAGGTCAAAGCCTAGAGATGAAAGTGGGGGAGTCAAGACCCAGCTAGGCCTGGATCCACCCTTTCACACGTGAGGGGTGGGTGGGTGGAGGGAGGGAGGGGGGGGCTACCCAGCGCCTGAGGTAAACACCCGCCTAACAAATACTGAAGCCCTGGGTGAGAACCTGGTCAGATGTTTGGATCCTGAACGGCTGGTCAATATCAGGGTGTGGCCACCCGCGTGCTGAACTCCCGTGTCTTTGGGTGGAGTTCAGCAGGTAGAGTGAGAAACTTGAAGGGAATAAGCCTGTGGTTTCAGCTGGCCAGCATTTGGTCAAAAGGCTCTTGCTAGCAAATCCCCAACCCCAGGTGAATTCCCTTTGCTCCCAGGGTAGATCTTCAGTAAGCCCAAAACAGGGAGTTAAGGGGAGGAGAGGCTGGTCCCTCGCCTCCTCCCTGTTCTGCCTCTGTGCCCGACATCTTTTACCAGGGTTTCTGAAATTAACCACTACAGAAGCCTTGCATTTCTGTGGCTGTCTTGTCTAGGGATTCTGAAATTTGAGCATCCAACCGAGTCCTCTGGAGGGCTTGAGGAGAGTGCCAGCCCCTCGTCCCAGAAGTTCTGAGTCAAGGGGTCGGGCGCTGAGAATCCGTACTTCTAAGCAGGTGCTTGGTGATGCAGATTGTGGTGAGAGGAAAATGTGGAGGTGATGGAGATGATGGAGAAGACTGGTGATGTCCAGATGGGAGCAGTGACAGAGGTGGGATTGGTGTTGGGGATGGTGATGTTAATGTGGCCGAGGCGGTTGGTATGATCATCGTGGATGGTGGTGATGTTACTGCGGTAGTGGTAGCAGTGGTTGGAAAGCTGGTGGTAATGATAGTGGTAATCTTCTTGTGGTAGTTTAGGTGACAACAGTGGCGATATGGTAATGACCGTACTGATATTAGGTGCTGCGGCTGCTGTTGGCTGGAGCACCATGTTGGAGCAGCTCTGTACAGCTCTTCTGTCCACTGGTTCCTTCCCACAGGAGGGCAGTTGCTGGTGAGTCTGGACACTTTCCCTATTCTGCTGTCTGTCTGTCCTCTCTCCTCACTAAATTATCCACTCTGGTTTCTTTTTTATCCCTTGGCCTTCCTCTTTTGAAGCAAGAATCCTGAAAAGGCTGCTGCTTAGAAGTCCTTTGCTCTAAAATCCTGTCTCCTCTCCTGCCCTTCTTCTCTCCAAGGTTTCCGAAGTTCTCTATTATTACCTTTCAGATTACCCAGATCCCCTCACCTGGTATTGAAGATGCATCCACATCTGCTCTCCTCCTATTTGTTCTGTTTCTGCCATACCTGACCCACAATTTTAATGGAGGGGGGATCAAAATCTCACAAATTCTTGTCTAAGACTAGAATACAAATCCTAGTCCTGGCAACTGTTTTTAATATTGCAGAAGTATTAAATACGAGTCTTTTTCTATCAAATACCATAAAACTTGTATTTAGGACAAGGAATTCAAATCTTTTTCTGTTTGTTTTGGTTTTTGAGACAAGGTCTCACTGTGTGTAGCCCTGGCTGGCCCTGAACTCAAGGGATCTGCTTGCCTCTGCTTCCTTAGTGCAGATGCTTGGAGAGGGAGGAGCCTAGTGAATCTGGTCAGTTACTTCTGAAGCTTTTGAGCTGTCTACTTCCTGAGGCTTTGGGGTTTTTTTGTTTGTTTGTTTGTTTGCTTGTTTGTTTGTTTGGTTTTGGTTTTTCAAGTGTATGTAGCTCTGGCCATCCTGGAACTCTCTCTGTAGACTAGGCTGTCCTGAATTATCTTTTTATTGATTCTCATAGGAAACACACAGTGAGGCAAACAGGGCCTGGGTTTGTCCCTAATTTGGAATCATAAGAATTAAGAGGAGGCACCGAGTGGTGACAGTGCACGCCTTTAATCCCAGAGCCAGGCGGATCTTTGTGAGTTCGAGGCCAGCCTGGTCTACAGAGTGAGATCCAGGAATGGTGCAAAGTTACACAAGAGAAACCCTGTCTCGAAAAACCAAAAATAAATAAATAAATAAAATAAATAAAAAATAAAAGAATTAAGAGGAGGGGGTCACAATTCCACAGATTATTGTCTCAAACAAGTTGAGAACCATTCAAATGTCTTTCAGTAAGAAGGGTAACCTTAGCCAGGTGTGGTGGTGCACACCTTTAATCCTTGCACTCAGGAAGCAGAGGCAGGCAGATCTCTGAGTTTGAGGCCCAAAACACCTGAAGTAGACCAGGCTAGCCTCTGCCTACTGAGTGCTGAGATTAAAGTTTTTTTTTTTTGGTTTTTCGAGACAGGGTTTCTCTGTGTAGCTTTGCGCCTTTCCTGGAACTCACTTGGTAGCCCAGGCTGGCCTCGAACTCACAGAGATCCGCCTGGCTCTGCCTCCCGAGTGCTGGGATTAAAGGCGTGCGCCACCACCGCCCGGCGAGATTAAAGTTTTATCTCCCCAACCCTCTAAAACATTTACGCTAATTT